GGACACAGTGGTGGCTACATGGGGTTGACAGGCTGGGTTGCATGTGTAACAATACCCCGATCGGAGTAGATTGTCAAGTGCAGATTTGCTGGACACAGTGGTGGCTCATATAGAACATGATAACATCCACCCCTGAACATGTCTTGTGCTTCAGCTGGGGTTTGTCTTTCTGGAAACTCCCGCCGTGCAGCTACCACACTTAGTGGAAGCTCATTCAGGGCAAGTGCTTCATGTAAAATAGCTACATATTTCGTGTGAATTATTTGGGCTTTAATGCAGCTATTACCAGTATTCCTATCATGGTGTGTTGATGAGGGATCGATGTACTCCTTAACCCATGGTGCAGACATGCCCAAGGGAAGTAACTCTGCACAGCTAATTTCGGAACCTCAATACAAGTTGGCCACCCATTTCATATTTTCTAATAAGCCATGAGTCTTGTTCGAGTGGTCATGTCTTTCTCTGCTTGCTGATGCAGGTACAGAAGACTTCTGCCAAGTCCTCGATATTTTCGATGTCCCACTTGAGTATCAGTGAGAGAAAGCAAACAAACACGATAATTGTTCTGGACATTTTGTTTATTGCTTATCAAACTCTTGGTTAATGTTTTATATCATTCACCACGCATTACTGTACATCAGTTCTAGATCTCGGCAAACACACGTCACACATGGAAACAAAACCTACTCTGCTCATTCTCGGGTCTCGAACATGGAGCTGTCTACAAGACTGATGACAACACTTGTCAACACGGACTTCACTTTCAACTGGTCTTCACGTTTAGTTTTGTGCTCTGCAGAACTCAATCACAAAAAAGATATCCAATGATTTGTTAAAAAACTAATGCCAAAATCAATCACCTTCAAAAGAGCTCCACTTTCAGTGATGGAGAAGACATTTCCTGTATTGCATTGAAGAAACGTCCCATAGCTGCTGTTCAGCCACTTGTCCAAAACCCCAATAAATGTATCAAATCTTGAAGTATCAACTTATGTAAGTCCAAACAGAAAGATGAAAATGTACTCAATATGCCAAAATACATATTCAGTGTTTTCAGCACAGACTGCGAGTCGTGTAAACAAGTGTCGTCTGCAGTCCTACAGACCACAGGAAGTAGAGGTGCTACTGTCTCAACTAAAACACTGACTACATCAACACCACTGACTACATCAACACATCTACAAGCTTTGTCTGTCCCTAGCTGAGTAATCTGTGATGATGTCGACAGGCTGGATGCTCCCATCAAGCACCAGCCAATAAACCATCCTTCATCCAACATGATGCCATCATAAACATGATAAACCTCATCCTCGACAATCCAGGGAAGTTTAACTCCTTGGTTGTGATATGTACCCTGGGCCCAGCCGCTACAGATGCTTGTTTGTAGGAGACTGTACTAGGCTGTGACAACTGACGTGAATTGTGACATCGGTTACCAATGTATGTTTGATTATAAGGGGGGCAGACTTGATTGGCGTAGTGATGTCAATTCAGTGTGATGTAATACAAAAAGTATACATAAAAAGTACTGTCATCGCTTTTGATCTTTTAGTGACGCATCTTGGAATTTTTATTAATCAACATACATTTTTTATACATATTTTCCTAGAACACAACTACAAGATCCCGTGAATGACATCCCCCAAAACAACTACCATATACTACCGTAGATAAGCTAAATAATGACGACCGAAAAAAGCGGTCTGTAGAAGAGGGTCAGCTTATCTACGAGATAAATTTCTTGGAAGTATTTTTCAGGTGGTCCGTGCAGTCAGAAATGTCAGGACGGTCTTGCAGGTTACAGGTACTTGATCAAACAGTCCTGTGTAATGTTATATTTTGATGCTGATCTCGCTCCTCGAACAAAGCTGTGCTGGCTAATGGGTCCAGGATATATATCCTCATCATGAAGATATAACACCCTTGAATATTGAGGATGAGGAAACATTTGGTACATTACTACAATGAAATCTACCCAACAATTATGTTTAAAAAAAGTCTGAAGAGCAACATGTTAAATTTACAATGTAAAATGGTGACTATGATTGGTTGAACATGAAGTGTATTCTTACAACATCAAGTGTTATGTTACACGATCTGGACTACAGAAGAAACAGGACACATACTGGTTAAGATTATCTGAAACAATCACTTAATATTCATCTACACGGCAAGAAAAACAAAGAAATATTGAGTACTATTGCTACTGTGTGTAAATAATTATCACAAAGGCTTTAACTAAACTGGTTATCTTGGTATAATTTGTCAGTGAAGAAAATAGACAAGATCGGCAGGAGAAAACACAAAAAACATTGCAGAAGATCCAATCTTCAAAATGCAGTCACCATGTCCATGCATACATAGTCGGCAATAAGTAACTTTTCACAATAACATCTGGATTGTCTATGCACTCATTCGTCAGAAACATTCTGCAGCCATATAACGTCAGAAAGAAGAACACATTTTATCCTGTTACTATGGCAACCACCCATTAATACATGCATCACCATGGCAACAAGGTACTGCAGAACCACAACAGATATAGTACAAATGAGTTTTGAAATTAAAACTGTCAAGCACATTGAAACATTACAAGAAAAAGATATAATTAGGTTAATTTGCACCTGAGTATGAAATAAAGACCAGATTATTCCCTGAAGAAAACCATCTGAGCTAGATTAGAAGTATTTTCCAAGCCAGCCGCTACAGCTTGTTCAGCTTGACCTGACCTACTCTACATATGCATGACCCGGAGGGTCAATTGGCAAATACAGCAGGCCGAGTTAACTTCATTAAATAGGGCAGTAGATAATGTAATTAATGTTGCGTTCGCGCGAAGCATGCATATATGGATTTGTTACAGACCTTGTCCGAAAACAACACTTCTGATAAAATAATCAGTTCATGTTATAATTGCATTGCTTGTACAGTCTAGCTTGGTTTATTAACTTTACAACGTACAGACGCCAGTTACTTTCACAATCCGATTCACTCTCGCTATCACCCTCTACACCCAGTTCAATTATCACTTTTTCTATTTCATGAATCGGGAACATTAAACCATCTGTAGCATCTGTTTTATAGAAAGTTAGGACATTGCTTACGATTTCTCGACAATGAGATGTCAAACGGCGACCTTGTCTTGGCTGTTCTGACATGTTGACAATCAACTGACAAAGGTGCATCCCTTCACAATAATAGACCCAACCAGTTGTGACACGGTCACGCAATTCATTAGTATTCACTTGATCAGGTCAAGCTGAACAAGCTGTACCTACATCCACGAATGAAAGGAGGCTGGATCGATACACTCCATATATAGACTGTAATGTGTAGTATTCTGTAACCATAGAGACTGGAGTCTCGACCAAGACCTCATTGATAAAACCAATAAAAGTCCAAAACTGCAAATGATCATCGGGAAAAAAAGACTTTGCAAATGTTTTCATCCAGGTAATTTGATCTGTCAAATATAATTTCATTTATTATCAATAAAATAGTTAACAGATCTTCATTTTCAAACAATTCACCAAAATATTGACATTCAGTGAATCATCAACTGAGACGTAGTTACGTCACACGCACGCACGCACGCACGCACGCACGCACGCACGCACGCACTCGCATACACAATGGTACCTTTCACAACAATGGCACAGCTAATGTTATCTCACGTAATTAAAATACAAGCTTCAACTGTTTAAGAAGCAGGCAATTATTTATACTACTTTACTTACGTGGCCTGCAGAAAAATTGATCGGAGCAGGCAACTTCCACATTTTGAATGAGTATCGCTGTGTTTAAAGATGTGAGTTTAACTCGAACTGCCAACATATGTTCAGGATCTGTCTGAATGTCAGAAAGACAAATTTGTTGTCAACAGATCCTCTGAGGGATAAGATGCGATGTATCCTGTGAGTAAGCCGATCAAACAATTAATCCCCTGAAATCACCGACAACTATGATACAATCACACACATGCATACAATACAAGCAAAATCACATATATTTATATATTTCTAACACTCTCAAAAAATAAATCCTCTAAAAATCTAACATTCTCTGTAAATATTGTAAATACTCCATTTTCCACACACTCGTCTATATTTCATAGTGACTACCAACAAAATACTGATGGCTAAAATACCACTTTTGAGCTGTCTCGATCCTGATGAAGTTTCTTTATGCAACAAAAAAGATGAGGCATGAGATACAATTTCAAACAAGAGGTTTGATATTTAAATGCTGCACTCATCATTCAAGCTTTATGATGTCGGTCTCCAAATCATTGACTCTGGATCAGACAATCAAGTGATTCACATCACGAGCATCAACCTACTCAGTGGAATTTGATTAAACCATTAAATCAGCTGCTCGGCTCTTTTGACATATCTGGACCAGACAACCCAGTGACTGTGACCGATATTGGGGGCAACAAACCTCACTGAGCTTGACGCCATTTTGTCATCATCTCTTGCAAATAGCACATGTTGCCGGGGACGATAGGTGACACAAGATGGCAAGTAACGTTCAGCTTTGGTGAAACCCACAAGACCAGACATTGTGTGGGTAAATCATTCACAAATCTTAGGTTTTAACCCAGAGGCTATGGATCATGTCCCTTGTGCAGCAGATCCTTGTCATGTAAGGGGAATAACCCTGCATACCACCATCTGTCCACTAGTTTCCTGAAGTAGCTAAACAGACGCCAGCAGTTGATCCTCAGTCTCAGACTTAGGACATAACTCTTCAGTTCTAAATACGATAGGTTCCTCACGCACCAGTGTTGAATGTTTGGTTTTGAAAGTCAATACAGAATTAGACATGCATTGGTGAATGGATACGCATATCATGTATCCAGGAGTAAACTGGTGATACATCGATCAATTGTGATCAATCGTGACAAATAGAACACCAAAGAGACACAGAATAAATTACGAAGTTACTGAGTTATTTCAAGATAATTGACCTCAACATGTTTCCTGATCTGAGCTGGGGGTTTGAGTCTGATCGGTAATATGGTGATCTATCTTAATCACCTACCCAACATTTGGAGTGCTACAATCAATCTGAGAATTCCCACATAGGTGGGTAGATCGGTGCTGAACACTAAGGGACCTGCTGGAATGTTTGCTATCCTAGTACTCATCGGCTAATGTATAACACATACAGCATGCATCTCTCGAGAACATCATCTCAACATCACACACGACATGTCTGCACCTGACATTGGATAAAGGTTTTGGTTTTGCTAACAAATGCGGCCTCTATCACTGGTGTTAACCCAAGGTATAGACCAAGGTCAGAGGTCATGCCCCTGCTGAGAAGATATAGACCAAGGTCACAGATGTCATGACATTGTGCCAAGGTTAGACCAAGGTCAAAGAGGTCACAGAGGTCATGACCCTGATACAAGATATTGACCAAGGTCAGAGGTCATGACCCTGTTCAGAGTTCTTTGCCACGGCCACAGAAGTGACAACATGGTGAGTGTTACTGACCAATGTCACGGAAGTGACAATGACTTTCTACATTAATACGAAAGAATTGTGTGGTCCTTCAGTTCTTTTTAGTAGTATACTTCCAAACAGGAAAGAACAAATTTCTGCTAAGCCACCAGCCAGATTACCCTGACCAAGGAATGACTGCTTGTGTAATCCATGTCTACACAGAATAATGGTTATGTTAAACATTGAAAAACCAAATGATTTAAGAGACCTGTGTTTTTTAAAAAGTCTTGAGTATTAATATAACAAAAACAAGTGCAATATTCATTCTACTGTACAAATGGTCCTGGCTGTAAAATAAGCAATTTATGAAAAGCAAAACAGATCTTTAACATTTCTACAGAACAGACAACTGCCAGTAGCTCTAATAAAATAACTTTAACAATTTCAGCAAAACAGCTACAGATGAAGGAATGCTATTTGTAGAATTAATGGAATGGTCTATAAACTACATATCAACAGGTGCTCCCAGACGAGACACTCCATGGTGCAATACTCATGGTGGAGAAATGGCCATGTAATCATGTTTCAACTGTTACAGAAATGGTTGACTACTTTTCTTACTACACCAGCTGGTACAATTATTCTTGGTTAAAAGACAAATTTAAATATCTATTCTTATAACATAAAATAATTAGCCTATCCAATTACTGATGATCATGTAGAATGATGTTGACAAAATGATCTATTTGGCACTATGAGTTATCCATTAATACAGTAACCATGTGGAATAACTCTCGTATCAGCCAACAATGTAATGTTGATGACCAAGACAGTAACAACATCAAACACCAGCATCCTTTACTATCCACTGGATAGTCTCCTATCCATTATGCTACCCTGGATTAATTCCGATTTGTTTTGGAAGTGAAGTTACATTTCCATCCTTCAAATCAGAATTGCTCAGGTGAATGAAACAGGATAGCACAGCTTCATATTCACGCTCCAAACAAAGGCATGGTGCCGGAAGTTTGCAGGGTGTTTACATAGTGGGATGGAGATATTACGCCCTGGATACAGGAGGATGATCACCTAGAACAGATTCCAGTATGAAGGCATCGTCGGCCTGCATAGTCAACAGTTTCTCACCACAAACAGCAACTTCACTTCCCTCCACACCATTTGATTCAAACTTGGCACAACAAAAACTAGCTCTGGTTACACATCCGCAGACATAACATCCTTGACTAAACACATCCACTCTGATATGATAAATACACTGGAACAAACAAGCGCCAAAGTTTCGTCACATCTCTCCAATCACTACCTAATCACAACTGTCCCTGATTTCTGAAGCACAGTGCCACTAGAATCGGGATCACTACCTAATCACAACTGTCCCTGATTTCTGAAGCACAGTGCCACTAGAATCGGGATCACTACAAAGCTATGACGGTGAATGGGTTCAAGTGTATTTAACATAAAAGAACGGAGATATATTCTGGCTAATTGACGACGGACAGTATCATATCTACATTCACTATCCTCCATTCAACAAGTAGATTCATCTACTTTGACATCGTGTTCAAACAAAACAAATATATTCTCAGTAAAATTATCACACTGTGGATTTGATGTGAGGCATATAGGGGAAATCTGGAGGAGGTTGACGTACAAGTAAAGCAGTAGTGACATAACGAGGTAGCGTTTCCATCACAACTACGTCAAACATTCTATAAATGCACTGTATCAGCTGCTGGTCCACGGATGTAAAGACGAAGGGTCTCAACGCTTTCTTCTCCGGGGATCACAATTCAGACAATGTAGACACTGAAAGCTTCAACACACTTGGATCAACGTAGGTCTGTGTGACACGGCTGAATTATCATCATTATTATTATGATCAGCCATTCTGATTATACAAGCAGCAAACACTGCCATGGAAATTATGAGGCACAAAAAACCCACACACCTTGTACTTGCTCTCTGCGTGACCTTGATCGTAGGTTCACGCTCCACATACAACATTCAAGTGAAAGACGACCACATATGCAGGTGAATGGACGATGAAGGAAGACTGGTGCGTCTGCTATTTGCATCTGCAGATGATATGCAATGCCCTGTTGGGCTCCATATTATATACAAAGGGAGACAACCCACAGCTAGTCAGGGTCCCGTATTCAATTCTCACAATACACACAGCTACATCGCCTACAGTCTGTCTATTCAACTTTGACCGTAACGTTGCTGCCTGGAGTTGTCTCCCTTGAAAAGGTTCCCCATTGTTCAGCACACGTCTCCCAGTTTATCGCCCCTCTGTCACAGTAACCTCCGGAAGGGGGTCCTGGAGCTTCACGTCCCCATTGACTAGTTGAGCAGACTCACTGGACAGTTTGTTATCTCCAGCACAGTCCTGACATGAAGGTGCGCAATCAATTGCGCTTGTGTTTGCATTGTCAGAGTTTGAGGTCTTTGCGTCACCACACGCTGTAATTTCCGGGAGCTCCTTTTGATCTGTTGTCCTCTTGGTCATCTCCTGCTTGAACTTCTCGATGTCGTCATGACTACAACAACAACAGGATCATCTTAATTGTATCACCAGAATATGCAAAAGTTTAAACATAAGAAATGAGGATGGTGAGTGTGCAAGATTGCTCCAATACTGGTTACCCTGACAGGATTCCATACTCACCTGATCATGTAACCATGACTTCACCTGATTATGTAACTATGACAACAATGGCTTCACATATGTAACCATGACTCTACCTGATCATGTAACCTTGACAACAATTACTTCACCTGATCATGTGACCACAATGAAGACCTCACCTGATCTGGACAAAGACGATGCCGTTGATGACATTGAGGGTGTCAAGTACGCTGGAGAGGGAGGGGGTCTGGATCTGGATGGGGGGAACGTGATGCTCTTCTCCCCTTGTAGATTTCGTTCATCTTCTTCTGGAACACGACTGCCTGCTGTGTGAGGTGCTTTAAGCACTCCGACGACTCCTTGGTACGCTCATGGTCCTCGCCCAGCTGTCGAAGCACACGATAACGAGAGTGTAATTAGTTACATAAATACACATGAAGGAGAGTAAAACAATCAAAATAAATATAAAAAAAACAAAAGGAAGAAAATGATATTGTGATTAAGATTGAAGTCGGCACGAATAATTGCAATTATGGCAACGAAACGTCACCACTCATTGACTCATTTTCATAGTGGCCAATAGTGAGCCTGCTACTGTACACCAAGATGCTCGCAAGCACCTGCCTGTCTTCACCAGTGACATGTTGTACGAGTGACCTACCGTCTGCCTGTAGATGGCGAAAGCCTCCTTTTCACTGAGCAGTGCGGCTCGGAAGTCTCCACGACAAGAGTGCGTGCGGGCTACCAGGTGATAGCTCATCGCCACTTTCAAACTCTTCACACCAAAATACCTGCACACACACAGCAAACATGGACTGAATTAAAGTAAGCAAGTAATTGTGTCGTACAAAGCCAGTTAGAACAAGAAGACAAAGTCATCAACATCCCCCCCGCAATGGCAAAATACTCTTCATGATTATGTCTATGAGTTATGATTATGTCAAATATTTAGGTGTGTATATAGAAAAGTGGAAGGAGAGTATTGAAAGGTTTTTAAAGTTCTGCTCCAGAAAAGAGCATTACCACCAATTTCAGTCTAAGTCAAATTTGTTGCCATGGAAACGCCAAAAATATTATTACAACACAGTGTCAGTCTGAACCACCAAAGGGAGGCAACCCTGCATATTGGAATACACTGCTTTAGACAAGTGGCTACCCACTTACTCTGGACGTTCTTTCATGGAGTCAAGGCATATGTGGTAAAAGTGCTATATCTGAGGCTGTACAAATAAAGCTTCATCATGTCAAACTGAACAAACAACCACAGGATCCTGGAATGTCTAAAGCACATTATGGAGCACATACTTTGTATTTAGCTGTAATGCCTGCTCCAAGAAGCGGAGGGACAACTCGTACTCCTCGACAGCGTGTAGGATCAGGCCAATGTTACTCTGAAGAAGATCAGAAAACACAATAGGTTATCTGCATCACCATATCACCCAGATAGAGCACATCGACTTGTTTAACATTATATTAGGAAACTGAACAAATATTCAAGTAAGAAAGTTATTATTCAATAAATATTCACTTCCATGTGACTAAAGACAATGTTTATACCTGGACATGAAATGGGTTACACACATAAGGATAATATTCCATAACGTACAGAAACAATAGATGTGAAGACAATTCTCTTTTGTCGAACTATACGGAGCATATTGTCCACTTACGTCTATGAGGGCGACTTCTGGATGCTCCTCGCCGAAACACAGCAGGGCCAGGTAGCGTGCGCGGTACATCAGCTTAAGCGAGCTGGAGACCTGGTTGTTGGCGAAGCAGTACAGTGCTAAGTGTGCCTGTAACATACATACGTGCCAGTCAGTTACAGCCATATACAATCAGTTACAGGTAAGTCATAGATACACATACATCACAATCACTGACCCACACAAAACAATCACAGACGACACACACCTGACAATCATTGACGACACACCTGACAATCACCAACACACACCTGACAATCATTGACAAAACACCTGACAATCACCAACACAGACTTGACAATCACCAACACACACCTGACAATCACCAACACACGCCTGACAATCACCAACACACACCTGACAATCACCAACACACAAACACACACCTGACAATCACCAACACACACTTGACAATCACTAACACACACCTGACAATCACTGACACACACCTGACAATCACCAACACACACCTGACCATCATTGACACAAACCTGACAATGACCGACACACACCTGACAATGACCGACACACACATGACAATCACCAACACACACCTGACAATCACCAACACACACCTGACAATCACTGACACACACCTGACAATTACCGACACACACCTGACAATGACCGACACACACCTGACAATCACTGACACACACCTGACAATTACCAACACACACCTGACAATCACCAACACACACCTGACAATCACCAACACACACCTGACAATCACTAACACACACCTGATAATCACCAACTCACACCTGACAATTACCGACACACACCTGACAATCACCAACTGACACCTGATAATCACTAACACACACCTGACAATCACCGACGACACATCTGACAATCACCAACACAAACCTGACAATCATCAACACACACCTGACAATCACTGACGACACACCTGACAATCACCAAAACACACCTGACAATCACCAAAACACTGGCCAGTTCCCCAATGTGGCCGACTTACATATTCTGTGATTGTGTTCGGATGATCAATCCCCAGCACCCTCTCACTCATCAGCACAGCTCTCTGTTGGAATGACAGTGCCTGGAGACAAACAACGGTAGTCACATGTAGGATATACAACACTTCACATATTGCAAATGCACGTTTCAAATTACACATCCCCACTCGGCTTGTGTCAACTACTGGATTAATCAAGTACTGCTGGCCCCCCTGGGTCTTACATTCAGACTTGTCACAATGTTCAGGGTTCCGAAGGACATTTATTATTATCAATCAAATATTTGCAAGTAATTACAAGAGCCAACTACCTCCTCTTCTTTCAAGATCAACCAACAAACACTCCTATACCCTGTCCATTCTCCTTGATCTACATAAAGTGGGAAGCAGCACCAGCTTAACTTGGGAGCTCGTACAGATTCTAGTTCTATTCATTGAAGTACTGCAAGTGTACTGATGTAGTGGGTGGAGTCACTGACCTCCCCGTACTCGCCCATGATGTAGTTGAGTCGTGCCAGGAGACGGAGACAGGCGGCGATCTCAGGGTGCATGGCTCCGTGTAAACGTTGTTGAGAAGGTTGAGGGCTTCGCTGATCAGCTCATACCCTTCTCGTAACAAGCCCTGCTGGATCTTGTTCTGGCCGCTCGTGAAGAAGTGGTAGGCATCAGTAGCCTGTGGGGAAAACATCAGTTTGGCATCTAGTTATTGGTTACTGTTTAACGTCGGACTCAGTGACATTTCAGCTGTATGGTGGCGGTCTGTAAATACTCAAGTCTGGACCAGACAATCCAGTGATAAACATCATGAGCACTGATCTACCCAGTTGGGACATGATAACATATGTCAACCAAGTCTGCAAGCCAGACCACCCGATCCCATTAGTTGCCTCTTACAACTAGCACTGACTGCGGAAGACCAATTTTAACACGAATGTTCATGGATGACATGCCTGGGTTGCTGAAAACCGTTTTTAACCCAGATTTTCACAGGTTCTTAACATCTTAACACATGCTTGGAAACATATCAGCATGAGCTAGTGTCATTCAAAGTCACAAATTGTTCAATATTAACTGCTTAATTACTGTCAACTTGGTACGATCTACTTGAATACTGATACATATTAGACACACCAGTTTCACTCATTTGTTGTCCTGGGCAACTGAATGCTTCCACACCAGCTGGCCTAAAAAATACCCCATATGTGAGACAGGATGCCTTTGATTTTCATGAATTTAATATAAAAGACCGACGTGTTCGTACCTTGGGATGTAAATGTTTGACGATGGGGAAAGCGTTGATGATGTCATCCTCGTAGAAGATCTGTTTGTTGCGGGAGTCGAGGTGGTACTCTCTCAGCAGGATCTGAACACCACATGTGCGGCAAAACATCCGCAGCAGCGCAGCTCGATGGAGGTTGTACTTCTCAGTAGCGGCATCCACAGAATCACTGTACACAGGGGAGACAACTCATGTAGTGTAGCTATGACAACAATGACTGAAGGTGGGAGAAAGTGAAAGAGAGAGTGAGTATGGTATTATGCAGCTTTCAGCAATATCACAGTGGGTGTATACCCGACTATTGAGGAAGAGTGGTGCTTTAACATAAGCTGCATTATTGTAATAATTACACGTCGTTACACCATCGACAGTGCTGGTCTCCAAACCAAGCAGCCATTGTTCCCTGTTTGCCCCCTCCCAATCATTGTTGTGAATA